ACGAACAATCTTGGTTTAAAGCCACGAACAATCTTGGTTTAAAGCCATGAACAATCTTGGTTTAAAGCCACGAACTATCTTGGTTTAAAGCCATGAACAATCTTGGTTTAAAGCCTCTCGCCTTCTCCTTTAGGACGTTTTGGGGTGCATCTGCATTAACCCCTGCCGGCTGACGAAAGGACAAGTGGGGGGCAGCTACGCGCAGCTCTGGGTCCAGCCACAGGTCCCTGGGGCCCAGCGGAAGAGCCCGTGCATCGCCGCGCAAGTGATCAAGATCTAACCAGGTTCCGCCAACACCTGAAGCCTTCAAGAGAATGAGCTAAAGGACTCTTTCCTTCTCCAGCAACCTGCGGATCCCCAAAGTCTGAGCAACCCAAACATCTGGCATCTCCTTAAGTTTCTTTATGGTGGCTTTCTGGGTCTCTGCAGCTGGATGACATCCATCATTATTCCGGATAATTTTTTTTTTATATCCAAGCCTGTTTCTGATATCAACATATATAAATATATGAATTTGTTGATTTGGGTTAGGTTCAAATCCTGTTTCTAAGCGAGCCCTCTGGAATCCAGATTGCCCCACAAATGAAGTTTTGGCAGATGTTCAATGGGCTGCTTTGATTCTCAAAGGAAGAGAATTCTGGGAGTGGAAGTCCACCCCTCTTAAAGCAAGGGGGATTCTGGGAGTTGAAGTCCATTTATCTTAAAGCAGGCTGGCTGGGGAATTCTGGGAGTGGAAGTCCACCCATCTTAAAGCAGGCTGGCTGGGGGATTCTGGGAGTTGAAGTCCACCCATCTTAAAGCAGGCTGGCTGGGGAATTCTGGGAGTTGAAGTCCACCCATCTTAAAGCAGGCTGGCTGGGGAATTCTGGGAGTGGAAGTCCACTTATCTTAAAGCATGCTGGCTGGGGAATTCTGGGAGTGGAAGTCCAAACATCTTCAGATTTTCAAGATGGAGAAAACCTGCTTTAATCATGGTGCTGCAGTGATTTTCATTACATACATTTCATAAAAGTTTCCAGCCGTCCATTTGATGCAGAAAATCTAATTTCAAAGTACGCTCATAGGAGTAGGGCAAATATTTGGGGTGGGGTTTCCTCCCCCTCACGCCCCACAATTCCAAAAAGTCTAAGCAAGTCGTTGCCTTCAATAGGCAAAAAAAAAATAGCAGAAGGATGCTTGTGGTTAAAAATGAAGTTGGGGATGAGCTGGAATATATATTTCAATTCTTAAAACAGTTTCTCAACCTTCCTGCAATCCGGTCACCCTCAAAATTACCTGACAAAATCCCAATTTTTTGCAAAGAGTGTCATGTCATTTTTAGTAAATAAAATCCCCAGTGTTGAGTTTAGCCATGATTTTTGATCTGATCCGTTTTTAGAAACCCTGGTCAAAATCCAATTTGGTTCCCCCCGCCCCCACTCTTTATGCCTGCAAAGCTGCCTGACTCCAAATCAATTAAATAACAATTAGCAAATTGTTTGAAAGTGAACCTTAAACTTCAGGCCTGCCGGAATCCAAGACCTTTGCAAAATTCAGGGACTGCTTTATAAAATGTGGGCTGCGTGCAAAAGTGGCTTGGTTTCGATCCGGATGAAAACCTTGCTGATTTTCGCTCCTCCACCTCTGACATTTTATAATAAAAAATTTTTTGGAGCGCAGCCCAGTAATGTTAATAAGAGATCTGGCCCTCAGCCTATCAGATAACGTGCTCCCATTTTCGGCGAGTGTGTTTATTTTCGAGGAAGAAGCATCCACGCAGTGAGAGTTTAATAGAAGCAATTAAAAAGGCGCCTTGGCGTCAGACGCAGGTTTGAAAACTCGGTGAGAAGTTTAATTCTATTTCCTTCCTGTCGTGAATAAATTCTCTCCCTTTTGGCACCTGAGTGCCAGTCCTTGCGTTGCATTTTGCAGCGTTGGGTTGAGTTGGCAACGAAGGTGGGGGTGATGAATTTGGTTTTTAGGTCGGGGTAGAAAAAGACATTTTTCTTTCCTTGGTACAGGTAGTCCTTGACTTACGACGGCAGTTGAGACCAGGATTTCTGCTGCTAAGCGAAGAGGTTGTTAAGTGAGTTGGGCCCAATTTTACGACCTTTTTTTGCCACGGCTGTTCAATGAATCCCTGTGGTTGTAAAGGGATCACCTGTTTATTAAGCAAAAGTAAGAAGGGAGGGAGAGGGCGGGGAGGAAGGAAAAGAAAGAGTGTGGGAGGGAAGGAAGGAAAATGGAGAGAAGGAAAAGACGCAGGGAAAGAAGGAAGAAAGGAAGAGGGAAAGAAGAAAGGAAGAGAAGGAAAAGACGTAGAGAAAGAAAAGTAAAGAAAGGGAAAGAAGGAAGAAAGGAAGAGGGAAAGAAGAAAGGAAGGGAAAAGACAGAAAAGTAAAGGAAGGGAAAGAAGGAAGGAGGAGGGAAAGAAAAGGAAGAGAAGAAAAAGATTCAGAGAAAGGAAAGGGGAAAAAATGAAGGAAGAGAAGGGAAAGAAAGAAAAACGATGCTGAGAAAGCAAAGGGAAAAGGACGTCAGGAAGAGGGAAAAGGGGAAAGAAAAAGAAGAGAAAGAGGAAAAGGGAGAGAAGGAAAAGATGTAGAGAAAGAAGGAAATGACAAAAGTAAAGGGAAAGAAGAAAGGAAGAGGGAAAAGAAAGGAATAGAAGGAAAAGAGAAAGGGAAGGGAAGGAAGGAAAAGAAGGAAAAGACGCAGAGAAAGCAAAGGGAAAGAAAAGGCAGGAAAAGGGAAAAAAAGGAAGAGATGGGAAAGAAAAGAAGAAAGGAAAAGATACCGCGAAAGAAGAAAAGGGAGGAAAGGAAAAGACACAGAGAAAGAAAAGGAAGGATGAGGGAAAGAAGGAAAAGGAAAGGAAGGGAAAGAGGAAGAGAAGGAAGGAAAAAATGGAAGAGGATCAGGGTTGTGTTCCGGTTTCTGACTTTTCCAAGAAAAATAATCTCATCTCCTCCACTGGACTCCTTATGCCCCGATCCTCTGACGTTTCGTCCTCCCCCACCACCAGCCTTCGGGGCAGGCTGCCTGCTCCTCCCCACCTCTGCACCAAGAGCCAGTTGCCTTCTTTCCATGGCCGCTGCCTCCTGGCCCGAAGGAGCTTCCCGCCCGATGGCCGCCTGTCGAATTCCTTTCCCTCCGAGTCATCCTTCCTCCTTGGGGCCCCGAAGGCGGCTTTGTGCAATACGCGGTTTCCCCATTGCCAAAGCCCCTGCGAGCAACCGGCAACATCTGCCGAAACAGCTGCGTTTTCTCTCGGCCTCGAACTCTCCCGGGTGTGCAAACCGCCCGTAGGGGTAGTCCTGGACTTACGGTAGTTCGTTGAGTGGCCGAAGTTAACGACGGCGCTGAAAAAGTACGACTTGTGACTTATTTTTCCCACGATCGTTGGCAACATATCCCCGCTGTTCTGTGATCCAAAATACAGATCCTTGGCATCTGATTCGTATTTATGATGGGGGTCGGTGTCTCCCAGGGGTCCCGTGATCCCCTTTGGCAACCTTCTGGAGGAGCCCAAGTCAACGGCGAGGCCAGATTCACTTAACAACCGTATGAATTGACCATTGCAATGATTCACTGAACAACCGTAGCAAGAAGCCGTAAAACGGCGCAAAACTCAAGACATTACACCAATGTCTCACTTAGCAACATACATCTTGGGCTTCATTGTGGTTGTACGTCGAGGAGTACCTGTATATAGAAGGTCTGGCCAACCTAGGAGAATCTGGGATTTTTTTAAAAAAAGGACATTTGATGGCTGGCCTTTATCCAGATTTATGACCACAATTGCATGCAGGATTTCCAGTGGTCGCTAAGAGAGCCGCCTCTGATTTTACGACTTTGGGGCTTTGATTGTTAAAACGAATCCCTGCAGTTGTTAAGCGAGGCATGTGGTCGCTAAACGGCTTTCCCCCAACCTTGCCAAGGTTACCAAATGCCCGAATTTGGTTCATGAGAAGACGCTGAAATGTTGCGACAATCTTGGGTGTGTGATTGTGGGTCGCTTTTTTCCAGAGCTGTTTCAACTTCGGTCGTTAAATGCATCGGTTGTAAGTCGAGGACGGCCTGTAATCGAAAAGGGGGAAGGAAACACAATTTTCTGGAAACTCCCTGCACGCTGCTGAAAATAATTCATTTCTTAACGGAAGCTTTTCGAAGGGTGAAGCCGCCCCATAGATAAGCTCCTTATCTTGGATCAGGCAAACTCGTGACCGCCGAGTCAGAAATTCAGCATGGAAGGTTGTCCTGCCTTTTAGATTGGGCCCAAACCTGGCTTGTTTGATTAGCTGCCATTCAACCGACAGTGGCAACTCAAAACATGCATTCATTCAATACAGGGAGTCCTCGACTTACAACCACAATTGGACGCCCGAAATTTCCATTCGGAAAGCGAGACAAGTGAGTTTTGCCCGGTGTTACGACCTTTCTTGCCATCATCATTAACTGAATCATTTCAGTTAAGTCAGTCACACGGTTGTTAAGTGAATTTGGCTTCCCTAGTTGACTCTAACCGTCACAAAAAGGGACCGTATGACCCCGAGACATGGCAACTGTCATAAATAATGAGTCACTTGCCAAAATGTTCTGAATTTTGCTCACGTGGCCATTGGGGATGCTGCGACGATCGTAAGTGTGAAACGTGGTCATGAGCGTGAAAAAACGATCATGTCACTTTTTTTTAACTTCAAAAGGTCACTAAACGAATTTGTAGTCCGAAGAACCACCTGAATCAAGAGTGAGGATAGTATAGGGCAGGGGTCTCCAAATTCGACAACTTTAAGACTTGTGGACTTCAACTCCCAGAATCCTCCAGCCAGGATGCTTTCAGATGGGTGGACTTCAACTCCCAGAATCCCCCAGCCAGCATGCTTTAAGACTGGTGGACTTCAACTCCCAGAATTCCCCAGCCAGGATGCTTTAAGACTGGTGGACTTCAACTCCCAGAATCCCCCAGCCAGCAGGCATTCAGATGGGCGGACTTCAACTCCCAGAATCCCCCAGCCAGCAGGCTTTCAGATGGGTGGACTTCAACTCCCAGAATCCCCCAGCCAGCAGGCTTTCAGATGGGTGGACTTCAACTCCCAGAATTCCCCAGCCAGGATGCTTTAAGACTGGTGGACTTCAACTCCCAGAAGTCCCCAGCCAGCATGCCGGTAGTCGAAATCCACCCATCTTCAAGTTGCCAAGTTTGAAGAGCCCTGGTATAGACTCCCGTGCTCGAGCAGGGGGTTGGACTAGAAGATCTCCAAGGTCCCTCCCAAACCTTATTCTACGTTCTGTGTTTCTTTTCGGGATAACTGACCCTTCCGTGCACCTCAGAAGATGGAATTTCCAGGGCAAAACCTGGGTGTGAGAGTCTTTCCCGTGACAATACCCAAGGAAAAAAACCAA